ATCTGCTTTTACCCGAGTCGATCCGGGTGAGCTACTCTGATATTTTTAGGACGTACGTGTGATACCTGCTTGAATCTTGATGATAACTGTGGATTTTATTGACAGTTTTGTTTAGCTCAGTCTGCAGCCACACATGTCAATCAAGTCACATGACTATTTCAGGTCATTCCATTGGCTGGAAATGATGTTTACAATTTACACAGTGATGCCATGTGATTTTGTAGATTATAATTCGACTTTCCTGATTCATATCCATAGTGATGCGAGGGTAAATTATACTTTAACCCCAAACTAATCAAGTTTCATTGAGATTGTGTGATTTTTTCTTCGCTAACCATGTTTTATGGTTTGACAGTTGAATAGGTATTTAAAAAGGTTACTCGTGCTTCAATGTATTTACATTATAAATGGCCCAAATTACCCTCAATTAACATTTTTCTAAAGTTGATAGCTCTCCTAATTATGGGTCGTAGAGACACGATCCTGGTGTCATTTGAAAGTTCATAATCATTCTCCTTGGCTCTTGGTCGATGATTCATCTAGGTCCTTTTGTCTTCACAAGTTGGAGGGAAAAGTGGATATTCGTAGTATTTAACTCAGTTATTGGGGATTCAATTGCCAGTGAGATAGCTTGCCACTTAGAAGTGCAGCTGTGGTGCTGGTCGTTTGCAGATGACGGCATGGGGTATCTCACATGTTACGTCATTCCATCCCAATGTTTCTGTTCGTGCACAATCTTCTCCGACGAAGTAATTATTAGGTTCAGCAGGCTCCACCCTCCAGTTTCTGTACTGCACATCAGTAGTGCCATCTCGACACACCCATGTACCTAGAGCATATATCAAAGAAAAGTAATAGTCGTTTTGATGCAATTTATTATTTGGTAAGTTAGAAGCATACTGAATTAATACAAGCATTCAAGCATTCTAATTCATGCAATTATTCTAATTCATGCAAGTATTCTAATTCATGCAAGTATTCTAATTCATGCAAGCATTCTAATTCATGCAAGCATTCTTGTATATGCAAGCATTCTAATTCATGCAAGTATTCTAATTCATGCAAGCATTCTAATTCATGCAAGTATTCTAATTCATGCAAGCATTCTTGTACATGCAAGCATTTTAATTCATGCAAGCATTCTAATTCATGCAAACATTCTAATCCATGCAAGCATTCTTGTACATGCAAGCATTCTAATTCATGCAAGCATTCTAATTCGTGCAAACATTCTAATTCGTGCAAACATTCTGAATTATAGCAATCATTCTGAATTAATGCAAGCATGCTTCAAAATGCAAGCATTCTGTAATATTACAAGCACTCTTAATTAATGCAAGCATTCTTTATTAATGCAAGCATTCTAAATTAACATTCTTCATTTATGCAAGCATTCGTAATTCATGCAAGCATTCTTAATTTTTGCAAGCACTCTTAATTAATGCAAGCACTCTTAATTCATGCAAACACTTTTAATTCGAGTATTTTTAATTATTGCAAGCACTCTTAAATATTGCAAGCGTTCTTAATGCAAGCATCCTTAATGACATTATTGTTAATTAATGCAACCAATCTTAATTAATGCAAGCATTCTTAATTAATGCAAACATTCTTCACTTATGCAAGCATTCGTAATTCATGCAAGCATTCGTAATTCATGCAAGCATTCGTAATTCATGCAAGCATTCGTAATTATTGCAAGCACTCTTATTTAATGCACGCCCTCTTATTCATGCCAACATTCTTAATTCAAGTATTTCTAATTATTGCAAGCACTTAAATATTGCAAGCATTCTTAATGATATTATTTTAATTAATGCAATCATTCTTAATTACTTCATGGGGGTGGACACCACTAGGCACTAGGGGTATTATTTATGATACAAATGTTCATCTTGTATGCAAACAACACGCTTCTAATACAGCAAGACGGTTCGTTTCACTGTTTGTGCTGTTCGTTCTCAACAGATTTAACACCAAAATATCCAAAAAAAATTAAAGTATTGAAAACTTGGACTGAACTGTATGGTATGCAAACCTTCAACTTGAAGATCATTGCAGTCGATCCAAAACCGACGACTGAAACGGCTCTGAAGGTACTCAGTTTCCTCCTGAGACTGTGGCATGACCAAGACACTTCCCATCTTGATGCACTCCTGTTTTGCCTCAGCCCATGGTAGATTCTCGCTGAGTTGCTTGTAGCATTTGTCACCCCACTGGCTCCAAGAAGGAGGACACGCCCCTCTAATGGAGGCCACACACCTCTCATTACCACCAGTGCATCTGATCATAAGACAAAGGCTTATCAAGCCTATGATGAGACGTTTTGGCGACATCATTTTCAGATGTCACCCCACTGGTGCTGAGTGTAGAAGTGAAGACACTGTCTCAAATCAGCTCCTCCCCTGTATTGATGCAGATAGCGCTTAGAGTTGCCTTTAATATTTTCTTTGACTTTCAGTCCGCCATTCACACAGCGGATCGATCGATGATGAGAAAAGCTAACCACTAACTGATGACACGCAACGTAATTTCCTTCAAGAGATTTCATCTCAGTCTTATTCTGACAACAAAAAAATAGACCCAATAGTTTCACGCTTCTTGTGTTTAACAGCACTTTTTCCTGGATTTTTTTCTACCCTAAGGACGTAATAAAGAGATTGATGGAATCGTAGTCTTAATTCAGATGTTGAAGTGTTATAGGCTGTCAGACCAGACTTTATTCAAGACTGAACATTGGATAATGGGAATACAGTTACATATGCTACATCAATTTACAATCAGAACTGAACAACATCCATCCTTAAATAAGACGACAAACACTTACAATAGTGAAATAAAACAGGTGCTTTGAAAAATACTTTGAATCTACTTCTTACAGAAATTGTTAATTAATTGTCTATAATTATTCAACCATCGGGGGGTTTTTTTGGAAGAAAAGTTTAAAAGTTTAAAAAATAGACACAAGTTCTATATATATTTTTACTTGGAAGATTAGTCTGGTGCTAATAAGCCTGTTATCGTTAACATCATTGGGATTGTCGACATGTCTTTAATTTTGTTCACGTACGGCATTCAGAGAGATTTTTAAAATGAGCTGACATCAGAACCAAGCCCGCTTTATAAACGACATTGTAATGGTTACCATTCGTACCGTCTTGCTGTTTGGGCCTGGGGCCTGCATGTATAACGGATTGCATACAGACGCTTTGCATAATGGTTTGTAAGTTAGAATTATTGTCTGCCCTTGAAATAAAAAACAAAGCTCTCAAATTTATCTTGAAACTACCACATCCAAAATTGCCTTTTAGTTGGTATCAGAAAAAAATATCTGCTTTTTTTCACAAAGAAAAAGGGAAGATGAATCAGAATTGTATATAAATACAGCAAATTGAGAATATAATTAACGTCTCATTTTGGTAGCTTTTGTTCATCATGTCATAATAATGCGCCAAGTGACACATTTTTGGAAATGTCCGTTAGTAGTTGGTTTGTAATTGGGCGAATCCGTGAATGGGTACTTTGATGCTCGCAAGCGTTGACACGACGCACACGCGCGCGCGGTTGCTGTTACTCGTATGTTCAGTGCGTGACATCACATAGCTACAATCGGCTGAATGAGAACGTGTCCCGAATGCAGATTTTGGAAGCAATTCAAAACATGACTTTGCAACTTTCGAATTGAAATCGAGGTCCTAGAATATTGTTTTCTCGGAATATACAGCATTCACAGAGCTAAGACTTCTTCAGGTTAGTTGTTCAGCACCCGTCTATAGATTTTGAGAACTTTTGTTGCTTCAAACGAAGAAATGTGCACAAATGACAAAATAATGATCTACTCTACCTTCAAGATCTAAATTGTATCCTATTTGTTTCCGTCTGTCAGCTGTTTATGAATTGATTTAAACATTAAAAATTGAAAGAAAAATAGAAACACTTAATGAGAAGCTATTATTATTGGGGGTGGTGGGGGGTCTGTGGGTTTTATTGCTTTAACACAATTGTATCGCAGATAAGCCAATACGTCATGTTTGTGAAGTATTCAGCTATGTTTACTGTCCGATTTCTGGCAAAGATAAGCTGATGTGAATAGCTGAAATCATCTGTCAAAAACATAAATGCAGTTTTGTTTTGATACCTAATCAATGTGTATGCGCCGAGAACGATCCGGACGTAGTATTTTCTTTGCTGTAAATGTCGCGTGTGTGATCTCGATAAACAATAATGCGCAGGCGCGGATCCAGAGGGGGGGGGGGGGGGTTCAAGTGGTTAGGGGGTCACCCCCCCCCCCCCCACAGCTTGGACTCGATTTGTTTCATAAAAATACATAAAAACAATCATGTGAACCCCCCACCCCCGCTCCGACACCCGAAAATAATTATACTGGTAATAAAGTCCGCCTGTGCCCAAAATTCGGAGAGAGCCAGCTGTGTTTTATTACGGGGGTATTTGTACACTATTCTATGATATAGTGTTAATGATGGTCGGATTTGAACAGCGCCCCCATTGAAAGTATAGTACGAGGCCCCCCCATCTGATTGATTGCAGTAACACTAGTTAAAGACCCCGGTGAGATGCAGTAGTTCAGCCCTCAACGTTGGAGCACTATTTTCATGACACTCTTCTGGAGCTAGTTCGACACCTAGAAATCACTTCACGCTTTGGGGATTTGGCTGAACCGATGCTTCGCCTTGTCTACTCTAAGTGCGAATGCGAACCTACGTTGTTCAATCTTCTTGACTTCTTAGTTCTTTGATTCTGCTTGCTTGAGTTCTGTCTGTCATGTTTATACATCTTGCTTGCTTAATTGATATGCTTTCTGAAGCTGTCATTAATGGTGCTGTTTCTTTTGTTGAAGCCAATTATAATAGCACGCAGATGAACTCGTTACCATACTTTGGTGATTCTAATTTAGAAGTAAATATTTAAATGCTAAAATGTACTAAACCTCGTTGTTGATCAATTTTAATCAAATCTCGTTGTCGTCGGTAGATTTGTATTTAAAATTGCAGCTGTGGTGCTGGGCGTTTGCAGATAACGGGAGCGCGATCCTCACATTTGACATCATTCCAAACGCCACTATCTGTCACCACCGCACAGTCTTCTCTGTGGCCGTTGTTAGGTTCACCCCGCCCCCAGTCGGTGTACACCACATCGGTAGTACCATCCCGACACTCCCACGAACCTAGTATGCACAACACGGAGAATAATCCAATCAATATCGCTTATTGAAGAAAGTGAAGATTATTTTTTCGAATGATTGTTCGAATTTCAGATTTGTTTTTCGTGAAATTACAGAAAACTACTCACAAAAAAATGAGCACTGCGAAACTTACTGTTGGAGTCTTCAAAATACTCTGAATATCTTTAAAACAATGTCTCTTTCCATAAACTTTTGAAGTAAATCAGTCAGAATTAATAAACGTCTCAGTTACGAAAACAGTTTTTTAAATAGATATTTTATCTTCATCTTAGTTTTTGCTGTAACATTTTCAACGACTTCATTTAAATATGTGATTAATTTCTAAACATGATCATTTTCGTTTTCTTTGAGCCAGCCTAAGTGATAATGAGTAAACAAGGCATATACAGTGGCGCACCCAGGATTTGGTTTTGGGGGGCTCACAGTTTTTTGGGTTTTTTAGAAGTTAAATTTTGTCAAAAAAATTTGGCCAAAATTTTGGGCCGCAGAAAAAAATTGGTGTTTTTTTGTGGGGGCTGACTATTTTGACGTTGGTGGCGCCACTTACACCCCTATTATACTACTCGAAAATAGGCCACATACATATCACCAAGGTCAAATCGAGGAACTAACACAAAAAAATTACCAGAAAAAAATTGACAACCTCTAGGGGGGCTCAAGCCCCCGAGCGCCCCCCCCCCCCTTGGGTGCGCCACTGGGCATCTTTTATGACAAACCTTCCAGATCGTTACAGTCGATCCAAAACCAGATGCTTAGGTTCTCCCGAAGGAATTCAGTTTCCTCCTGAGACTGTGGCATGACCAAGACACTTCCTATCTTGATGCACTCCTGTTTTGCCTCAGCCCATGGTAGATTCTCGCTGAGTTGCTTGTAGCATTTGTCACCCCACTGGCTCCAAGCAGGAGGACACGCCCCTCTAATGGAGGCCCCACACCTCTCATTACCACCAGTGCATCTGATCATAAGACAAAGGCTTATCAAGCCACAGGTGTAACGTTTAGGCAACATCATTTAAACTGTTACCAGACTCGTTCCGAGTGTAGACCCTTTCTCCCACACCCTCAATTGCCCCTAAGATGCCAATATCCCAATTGTCTTCACCGCTATGGTCATGGCCTCGTGGTTTATATTAAACGCTGCATCACAAAAAAGAATTTCGTACTCGGCGAGTATAATGTAGCTCATTTGTTTTAATAGCTTTTCCTGAGTTGCATATTATTTCTGGCCTTCACAAGCGCCATCCATCCGAAGCTTTACATTTTCATCAAATTTGTATTTACCGTAGTTACCATGACAACGATCTGTGTACAGTTGCCAAAAAAACACATTTTTAATCAGGAGGGAGATGATTTATTGGCAAATTCTGTAATTGACTGCAGTCCTGTGGCTTCTATGAGTACGCAGCTTTACAAAACAGATTCTGTTTATAGTGTGGTTGTTGTTTTTTTTGGTTTTTTTTAGGGCAGTGAGCATGTTTTCCGGAACGAAGTCGGTTGTTTCTCTATGTGTTATTTTGTTATTTTCAAATTGGCAGTAGCTTTCAGAGTTTTGAATTAGTTCAAGAATGTGTTTTTATAATTTTGTCCGCGATTTTGGGGGACAAATTGGCACTAGCTGGCGGAGTTATGATTCGGAAAACGGGCAGATTTCTAGATTTCTAGTTGGCAAAAGTGTGCGGGTAAGATACCAAAACAAAAAGTAAAACAGACGAACTTCAAATTCATTAAAACGGGTATTTCTTCCTATGCAAAAGGAATGTGTTGCTTTTATTCCAGGAACATTGACTTTCATTTGGATTGTATTTGTCGCGTGTAAAAGACTTTATTGTTTCTGTCAATTTTTTTTTATATTAGTTGATGATTTCTCATGAAATTAAATTTCAAAATATAAAATATCATGAGAAATCACCTGGTATTTCTCGGGTTATTGCTAGAGAATTTTTTCCCAAGTGTTTTAATGCCCGAGTGTTTTATTTTTCAATGAACGTTGACTTTCATTCGGATTGTATTTTTCGGCGTAAACATCGTATCTCCCAAAGTTACAGCAGATTGACAATCTATAAATGGATAAATAGCTCAAATTCCCCCAAACTATCAATGTGTATTCCAAGTAGGTCATGTTGCATTGCATTTCAATGAAGGATTTTAAAACAGTTGCCGAACTAAAGTTTTTCCATGCAGTACTCACTAGACGCCCCAGCATCGCAATCAATGTCAGACTTTCTATTTTCACTTTTCCATCCGTGGCGTTTTCTGAGCTGAATTTGCATCTATTTGGGAGGAATTATTACATTATAACGCTATCCGTGAATTGCCATTCGCATGCACCGGACCTGTCTTTTCCCATAAATAAAAGAGGAATTGGAGTCCGATACGAACATGAAAAAAAGGCTCCTCCATGCAGACATTTCTCGGCGGTGGTGCACTGTACCCCGACTCGTTTACGTGAAAAAACGATACGGGCCTTCGGGACGCCCGTCTGTTAAAACTGATAATGTAATAACCAACAGCCGATAATGTCACACGTTATACATGTATGTGTAGGAATTTTGTCACCAATAAAACCGAGGGTTTGTGCTAATGATTACAAAAAAGACACAGAAGGCCATAGACAGGAATCCAATTAGTTAATGATTGGTGGGATAATAAAGTAGCAATTATGAGCAAAGTATGCAATTACTCAAAGGTTTCACTCTTTGTCAAGTAATTTGGTACGTGCTCGGCGAGGCGTTTATCATTTATAATAAAATGGTGGCTAATTCCTTTCGATGGGAAACTGTTTAACCTTGCATTAGTGTAGACTTGATGACAAGTCGTTTGATAGTGGTATTTTGTCCGCGAACTTCAGTCGAACATAATCGGCCGCCGGTTGCGACAAATCTAACGACTTGACGATTACGTTCTCGCACTGTTGCGCAAGCAGCGTAATGCGTATGCAGTGCGCTTTTGCGGTGAGATCCAATCAGGCTGGCAGACGGCTTTAATTCCAAATTTTGTTTGTATTTTGTTCGACGGTTTCTCGTGAATATTTCAGTGTAAATGATGTGCTGGTGTTGCTAATCGGTATGCGCTGCCACTCAGTACGATGTTAAACAATAAAGACGTATTAAAGGGCCGCTAAGTCCTGAAATCCCCGACAATTTCTTGTTATGAATTGTTTACTTATCCTATTTCATTGCAAACATCTGGTTGAAAGGAAACCAACCTAAAATGTTCTATCCTGCAAAATGTATTATTGCATTCAGTCGTCGTTTGTATTTGGTGTGGCTATGGCAACGATGATTACTGTAGCCATGGTAACGCACTGAAACACTGTTGACGAGTGTGACACGTTGCTCATATTGCTGTTCCATAGCGCGGAGTTGTCATTTCGAGCCAGCCAGTGATTCTCGCCGTTTCACAGCCAAGTCCGGTCGCAGAAATATTGACACTTTGTAAACTTGAGTGACTGAAAAGCGAAGGTTTCGAATTGTTCGCTCATCATGGCGTTCATGTCCGAATTCTTTGCCATTGTGGTTGCCGTTTTATCGATGAGGGCCCTCTCTGAGTCAAATTTCTGCCCGTCTCGGTCCCCTGTCAAATCCTCTTGCCCGCCAGAGTGGCAACTGTGGGGGAGCGCGTGCTATCGCCTCACTTCCTCAACGTACAATTGGGATGACGCCAAGACAGCTTGTCAAGACGTGGGAGGCAAGATGGCCGCTCCTCGCTCGCTCGAGGAACTGAACTTCATGGCAGAACTGGCACGAAAGGTGGACAGTCAATACAGGGCCTGGATTGCTTGCAATGACAAAGAGGTTGAAGGAGCTTGGGAGTGTGACGGTCAGGAAGGAGGCGAGCCCTTCTTGGTATGGGCTGATGGGCAACCAAATAGTTGGGGCGGCAATCAAGATTGTGCTAAGTTAGCCGCACGTTTTAATGACACGATGGATGATGCACGATGTGAGAGTCCATGGAGGGCTTTTTGTGTTCGTCATGCAGCTTGCACTCATCTCCCAACCCAACCCCGTCGATACTGCCTCTCTACCGACACTCACGGCCGCATTCTCAACTCAACCTGCCTCCTCGACCACAACATCCGGGAGTTTATCACTGAGGGTTTGGTTGCCTGTGGCTCGGCCTGCGCCAATGAGTCAGGATGTCGCTCCTTCAACATCAAGAAAACAAAAGAAGGGAAGAAAGTATGCCAGCTGAACAACAGCACAAGCTCCGAAGTTAAGGACAAGTTTCAGAAGACCGATTACTTCTGTATGTACTCTGAGGTGTGCGTTGGTTAATCAGTGACTGGAACCGAAAAGATGCACTCTACAAACTTAAACTTGCAAACTGACTAAAAACAATTCGAATTTGGTTCTTGAAAACCGGATTACAAAATATTCGCAAGACATTTGTTCTTAATATTAAGATCACGTGGCATTTCTTTCTTTCTTTCCTTTTTTTGTTCTGAAGAGGAAAAAAAGCTTGGGATATACTTTGAGGTAAAGAAGATGAATATTTTGTTCTTTTTGCGAACACGACAAGGATTGGATTGAAAGCGTTTTGAACTGATGAAAATCGTTGGAAGGTTTTTCCCCCGCAAATTACATAACAACTTTGAAGCGTTAATGCATTGTACATTCGCAGGTAGTTCTAGTTTTTGCAATGTTTGCATTTTTTCAGCAACAAAAATATAAGATCGATTAGGCCAAAAAAAAAATAAGTCGGTCTCTGGTCAGCGCGCGCGTCGATTTTAATCATGCGCGTCGATCTTTTTTTCCCCCAAAATGTTCCGCGGTAGCTCCAACAGCGCCCTCTATTGCCGCACCTCCTCATTTTTTTTTTTACCAAAGAGCACCAAGGAATGGGAAATTGCACCAAGGCAAATGATCGAGAGCACCAAGGCAAATTATGGAGGAAACCAATGTACATGAGGACACCAAAAAAGCAAAAAAATACCCCACCTTGTCTGTTCAATCCAAGCTTGAAAAAAAAAAGCGGCGTCCCCGCGTCAATTCCGGAACTTTGGTCTGACTAGAGACCGAATGGCTTTTTTTTTGGCCTTATATCGGTGATTTAATATTTCTTAAATTATTACCATCGTCCTTTTCTTTATTTACACAAACTGAAGGAATTTTAAATCACTCACGTGTATCATTAACAGTCCTTTCAATTATGGCTGCCCCAATGGTTTTGAAAACTGAATTGTATCAGTTTGGAAGCGAATTAGAATTTCTCAAGTTGCCCAATGTGTTCAAATCACATTTATTTGAAAATTTCAAAACGATGGCATGAAAACATGTCTACAGTCCATTCATTTGAATTCACATTTGTTTGCGCAACGATGAATCTGTACCCTAGTTGCTTTGTAAAATTTCATTTTTCGAATAAATTAATTATTGGTGTTGTAGGTAAAGGAAAAATAACTCTCACAATATTTTTCTTTGTGATATATTGATTGGGATTTTATAACAACTTTAAGCAATCTAACTTCATAACAGGAACCGGGGAGGGGTGGGCATACACCTGTCACAATATGTGACAGTGGGGTACCCCCATGTCCGTATAATATACACACCCTAGACTATTGCTGTGACCCCCCCCCCCCGATATCTCCAAAGAATTCCTGAGATTCTGGTAACACAATGACCAACACAAAAGACGGGGGGAGGGGGTCCCTCTGTCACATATCTTGCTACATAATTGTGCGTGGTCAGGTGACCTGCACGTGACTGTGATGGAATGAACCGACATGCACCGACCTGAAACTAATGTTTCAACTTGGATAAGCGGGAATCATGGGTCGAGTGAGGGTTAAGGGTAGCATCGATTTAAAACAGGGGTCTTCACAACCTCGTCCCCAGGGTGTCGAACAGAACGCGCCCATCACTACCTGCTCTCTCACCCTGGTATTGGATCATTTGCATGTGCAAGATTTTTGAACACGTATGCAAATGAGGAACAGTCTGGTGCCTGGATATGCGTTACATAAGCACTCCTGTTTTGCCTCAGCCCATGGCAGTTTTCCGCTGAGTTTCT